CAACCCTACTTGGCCAGTAGTAAGCATAGTAAGGTGGGAAGATTGGGCGCGAGACCAGTAAACTCATTATGTAGAAAAGGACCAGTGCCAATTGGACTTTAAAGCTCAAGCTTATTTTTCACTTGGAAAGCTAAGCAATGAAATATAAGAAAACTTAAAAAATTGGATGTAGGCATCATTTTTCTTCTGCGTATTGAAGAAAATATACATTCTCTGTTACAATATTCATTTTCTAATTCTTCAAATAATTTACTAGCATTACAGGAAAACCTTTCTAAAATTATGCAATAGTAGCATATATTCGAATTCATTGTCTCATAAAATATAACTGATTAAATTTATGGTATAATGGGAAGTTAGGTATTTTAAATGCTTAAATGTGATATGCATATGTATTTACCTGACTCAAAAATGTAAGTGTTTTGTGGATGTTTATATGACTAATATTTCGTTCTTTCATTCCGTTACGTCCAAAGTGGACTTTAAGGATTCAAGTTTAGACTTTTAAGCTCCAATGATGTTGTGGTGTTGTTTTTATGGAGTGAGTTTGTTAGTCTGGCGTCCAATCTCCTGTCTTTGTCAGGCTTACTGACGACTTAATAAGATTTAGCAGTGCGTTGGTCGAAAATCACACTTGGACCATGTGCGTGGCTGGCAAGCACTCCACAGTTAAACGACTGACGAATAAGTTAGAATAGTAAATTAAGAACTAATTAGTTATCTTTAGTATATACTGATACTATTTAGGCGACAAATTATTTCTATGAAACCGTAAGATATTAATTCGACAAGTGTTGTCAATGGACGCGAACATTGAACGTTTGTTTGTTGGAACTGGTAGCCATTGGTGGGCAACTCGAAGGCGCGAGTGGTTCGATCGTGTACAATTTGGAAGAAGACGAAAGAATACGAATAAAAGTATACTATAAACAAGTGTTTTATAATGAATGACTTGTACTTAACTATACTTTCATTGCCAAACAATACAACTTTCTTAAAGTACTGGTGTTTTGGAGTTAAGGTTGATAAAATCATAGTAATTATCGGTTCGGAGGGTCTTCGCAAATAACAGGAACTTAGGGTTAAGTCCCTTGACAAGTGTTCTGTTCACTTTCACTGTGACTTTCTAAAATCGTCATGTTTATTCATGAACATGATGTTGTTTTACTGATATTTGGGATAGGAATCAATCGACTCAGAGATACATAAAGTTTTCATGAGGTTACATAAGATTTGGAAACAGAGTGTTTCACAGTAAGGAAAAAACTGAAATCAACACTGTTTCAATAAAACATAGTATAGGTCTCTATTAAACAGAATATTACTGTAGTAACTAAACTAATCGCGTCGGTAGTATAGCGGTTAGGACGCTCGGCGACCATGCACATGGTTCAGGGTTCGATCCCCGGCCGACGCACTCCTTTACCTCACTCAGCCAGAAGCAAAGCTGGTGAAGAGGAAAGGTTGGGCATGTAGCTAGCAACCCCATCCTGTAAAAATAATCACCACTGCTACAGAAACTTCAAGCCTCTAGCTTGAAGCCCTATGTTCCACTGGGAACGTGAATAGAAAAAAAACTATAACTAATCACATGAGAAGTAGTTCAATCAGGATTTTATCTTCTGATGGCATAGGGACAGAATTTAAGAGGAGTTCTATTATATCTACACCAAGAGTAAAATTTATATATCTAAGGTTGTCTGTTACTTAAGAAGTGTTGTAATAGCTCTGCAAATACTTCCGTAGGTGCTTGATTGGAAGGTGGGGGTACAGATAACCACAAGCCATAAACACATATTCACTCGCATTAGTAGCATAAATACTTCCCTCATAACTTTGCATCATATCCCGGACTAAAAACAACATCAAAGAGGCATTCCTACTTATAAGTCCATATAAGCAATTGCAGTTAAGCTAACGGAACTTGATTTATGACTCCAAAAGACTACGGGAAATTTTTTCATGGTCGAAATTTTTAAAAGAATTACTAAAAGTCAAGAGACACTGCACAAGGGTTTCCTTCAAATTTGAGATTCTTCGTTACAGGTCTATACTGGAAGGTAAAGTTTTTGGGTGGACGCGACACTGTTTAATCAACAAGTTGAAACTCATTAGCCCCTGCTATATAGGTTATACGGATTTATTTCGTCTCATAATCAGCCAGTGAACAGCTGTCCTTTCACCCTTCTAGTAGGATTCTGGTGGCCAGAATTTCATATGAAGGTTACTTGGATCCTCTACATGAGTTACTCACAAACAAACTGCTGAGTTTAAATTATTTGAGTTTCGCGATTATGAAGTGACAGTTGGTCACAAATTGAACCAGATCATCTCTCCAGAGCACATCATTTTTTAATTCTTAGATATCTGATAACACTTCAACCAAAAAGTCGGTCTAATCCTCTCCAACCTAATGGCGAAATCATACCATAAAATAGCAGTTATATCACTTTTATCTTCTGTTTTCAAATAAAGTAGGGATACCAAACACACACTAACAGTAGAATGTGGAAATTAGGATAATATGCATCCTGTATCATATTTCAGTTTCAAGCCATTGGCAAAGCTTATTTCACTGCATCCTTTAGATGGCATGATTTCTTTTGCTTGTAATACGATGATAACATCTGACTGACGGCACAAGATATGTTGCTAAGCTATTTAAATACTTTGTGATAAATGTATCCGAATACTAGTTCACTCATAATGTTATATATTTTGAATAACTTAGCAGAATGTTTTACACTGAGAGACTTGATTTTTATCAAACAAAAGAAAGAATATTTTATTATCGTAGACCAGTTGACATATAGATTTAATCGACTCTTTTTATCGGTATAGTTCCCAGTAGAACATAGCGCTTCAGGCTAGTAGCTTGAAGTTTCTGTAGCAGTGGTGATTATTTTTACAGGATGGGGTTGCTAGCTACATGCCCAACCTTTCCTCTTCACCAGCTTTGCTTCTGACTGAGTGAGGTAAAGGAGTGAGTCGGCCGGGGATCGAACCCCGAACCATGTGCATAGTCGGCGAGTGTCCTAACCGCTGTGCCACCGACGCTATGGGTAGAGTATTCATCATCAAATTCGTCATTGTTGAAAATTTCATTAATTCTATTCAGGAACTGAAACATCCTTTACATTGTATTTCACTGTGCACTCATTTTAAGGTGTCGAAACCAATATTTACTAAAAGTCGAAAGTATCAGATGTCTCATTTGATCCGATAATTTTCTTAAAAATTATGATATCTTAACTTTTCGGCTTTGAAACTGATGTCTAGAGATTCTTCTAGAAAGCATACACTAGAGAAAATTGCTGAAGAGATATCCACAACAAAACTGGAGTCTATCTCCTAGAAAGTTTCAGCAGAAAATCGAGTGGTTGCTCAGACTTTCTTCAGTATCCTTGAACTGATGTATTTTTTGTTGATCTCAGGTGAAGTAAGAGTTCGAGTCACATTAAGACTCAAGTCACCAAAGTGCCAGTCTATTAATTTAGAAGCCACTGGTCCAAATCTCACCGTAAACTTAGATTTCATCTCACCTTAAATCATTTTCTCTTACGGGAATAAAATTATATTACTTCGTCTGACATTCTCCGACTGTTTATTTAACCTAAACATTGTAATTGATGGCAGTGAAGATTTTCTTTATGAATTTATTGATAATAATTTGAGTTTCATCCAGATACTGTTGACTTTTGTAGTAGCTGATAAATAACAAGTAAGAAATGATACACAGTGTCACAGAATTACAAACCATGACTCATTACTCTAACAGGTAGTAGTTAAGCATTTGAAGTGATGGTTAACTCATGACAAAATCAGAGGAAAGGTGAAGTAAGTGAGATAGAATTTTATCTAATTGGAAATTTTTGGATGAGACGAATAGTATATTTTGAATTCTATTGTGATTTGATTTTTTAATCCCACACATAAGAGAGAACCAAAAATACGTGACTATACAAAAAGCTTCTCTATGTTAAGAAGACAGAGACGATGAAAATAGCTAACCAACAACAACGGCAGAATTGTAAAGGAAATCACCTCGTTTACCTATTCATTGTGGGAATCTACTGCACCCAGAGTAAGGAATAAGATTTGAGCAGAGAAAGGACAAACATTGGTGCAGAATAACGTGGATCCATTTCATTTCTTTGATTCTCATCAGCCTCATACACCCTGTAATCTTTAAATAAAAATCAGCCCAAGACTTGACGCTGTTTTGTCTATCAACAAACATATGATAAAAGTGTCATGGTAAGATGACAGAGTAGCTGAATTGTAAGTGCATGTATACATCTTGTTAGAGAGAAGTAAGTTAAATTTTACGCTGACTTCTATTTATTAAAGATTATAGGTTGTATGAAGCTGATAAGAACCAAAGAAATAAAATGGATCCATGTTATTCTATACAAGTGTTTGTTCTTTTTCTGTTCAAATTTAGAAAAGAGAATTCTTGTATGAGGAATAGGACTGGGATTTTACACGCGAATGTCAAGTCAGTCAGTGATTCTATATGCTACATCTCTGAACCCATTGTTCAGAGACTTGGCACACGCAACACCGAAAGCATTTCCAACAGGCTACTGCACACTTTTATTAACAGTTACGTTTGCTCCATACTGAACTCTGCCAACGTACCGACCAAGAACATCCAATAAATAGGAAGAAGGAAGTAAAGATGGACTGGTTATACACTGAGGAAACCACTGAATGCCATCACGTACCGAACCAGCCCTCAACAGGAACCTGAATACAAAGAGATGTGTCGGGGGTTTGAAGATGACATGAAGGAGATAGTGTGACAGGTAGATGACAGCTTAAGAGAAAGCCTGCAAAAGACAGAATGAAATGGCAATGTACTGCAGAGAATATATAATAACAATAATTGATGCAAACGGCTTTAAAACTAATGAACGCACAGCATTCGAATCGCGTGTAAAAAAATAAACAAGCCAAAACATGCATCCATAAATTAGTCTAGAAAAATGTTAACTCACCCTAAATGATTTAACATCTTCTAAAAGTTTTAAAATTTTCAATTCTTCATATGTTCTCAGTTGTGCATGTGAACTATTCATATGTAAAACATCATTTAGCTCATCTTTTGAATTTCTAACAGTGATTTTACGAAGTTCTACAGGAGTTTGCTTCAAACTCACTGATGATTTAATTCTACACAGAAAGTTGTACAGTTGATCTTTGAATGTGTGGACTTTTAGTTCTTCAGGAATAACTTTGGGATAGTTATGACAATAATTATTTATCTTCATTTCATTATTTTCAAGCCATACTTTTTGAAAGGGAAACCGAGTCATTCTTGATCGAAATATCTTGTAGTTAATGTTTGACCGATAACGCTGAAATAATTGATTAAAAATGAAAGTTTTACGTAAATTGTAACAGGTATTTAATTAGTGTATCAAAAAATCCCAAACGTTTTTGGGAATCCACGAATTCAGAACAACGTTTCTGTAACGTGGTTTCTCGTAATCACGGGTATTGCTACATAAAACTGCAACACAAATAATTATTGAATTTCACTTGCTCACTCTTCTTTTATTTGAAGACTGATACAACTGAATTTTTTCCAGATGACTATGCAGATTCATGGTTATCAAGCATGAATAACTTTGATACATCAATCAACCCTCTATGTTTCATTTCAGACCTATGGATATACTTAGCTCTAACTCATGGTTATATCTAAATGCACGCATATTAAAAAATCAGTTCTGCCTTTTATTGAACCAATTTCATTCGTGAATTTAGCTGGATTTCAAACATGTTGACAGTGTCATTGTTTGAGACTATTTACTTAAACTTGAAACCATTATGTGACATTTCTGATGCAGTGTTTTTGAAAAGGCAACTATAATGAAGACTGTTTAACAACGTTGATATGATTATGAATAATAAATTGTGCACATTATCAAAGCAAAATAATGAGAAATAAATCGGTATCATAAACTCTAAAAGACGAAATTTAATGAAAACTTCAAATTATTTAATTACAAGTTTAATGTTATCAGAAAATATGCTCTTGAAAGTTTCGTATACGTATGCAAATGATATAAACTAAGCGAAAGTGGTAACTAACAGAATTTTGGTATTACGGAGTGGATTCCGGGCAGTGACAACTGAAGTTTTAAGCGAAAGAGAACATTAGCACTTGATGGCTGCAGATGGTATTAGGACAACAAAGTGATGACAATGGTGTCACTGACTACTCCTCCCCAAATAAAATCAGTACAAAAGAAATCCCTTGGATTAGCAATTATAGTTTGTTTTTAACAATACAAGCTACTCGGTTTTAAGACGACTCGTCTCACATTCATAAACGTATTTGATATGAAGTAACTAAAACGATTTTCAGTAAAACAGGGAAAAAATTTAAATAAAGCATAATCTAATGAAATTATTAAATCGATGGACTCGTCAAGTGAATAATCTACGAATAATGATATGCATTCTAATACAAATATATCTGGGGATATATGACTGAAAGATGAACAAAATATATTGCATCAGACGACAGGTTTGAATATTTTTTTAGGTCATGTCCAGAAACTGAGAACATGACGGGAGATAGTTGTTTCCTATTTTCAGTAAGTCTGTACATTGTCCTCAAAGATTATTTGTACCTTCTGAAGAGATTAAGCAACAGCAGTATGATCCCGTTAGAAGGAATGATAGAACTTGCTATAATAGACGGTTATATTTCTCTGGTGTCCAGATGTAGATTAAAAAATAAAATGACAGTTTCGTCGAAATATGAATGTGAATTTTATAAATTGCACGTTTTAAAAGTTCAATTGGTTGATACCAAATGAAATCAGACATAGTAGCTCAATAACTTCTCCTCTTTTAGATTAGTAGCAATATAGTAGTTGATCTTTCTTTCTCTGTTATTTTTTCTTAATATTTTGAATTTTGATTGTGTAGAAAATCTCCTGTTTTAACGTGTTTAGTGGTTTATAGTATAATCAGACATGATGGTAATTGCACTGGCAATGGCTATTCAACAACCTTATGCATTTTAATGCACTTAAAAATAACCTGTACGTATGGTCGAAGGGCTGATAATGTCATCTCACAGCTTAAAACTTGTTATGTACTATCGAATTTGGACTCGTCATCCAACGTCACAAGCCTAATATTACAAACATAATGTTAGAAAATACTGTAAAGACTACTTCTGTTTAGATAACAAGTCACTCTTAATAATAACAGAATTTTCAAGTGTTGGTTTGTAGGGATTTGATTGGTTACAGGATTTTCATCATGAGCTGACATTAGTTAGAGTTCGAATCCCAATGGGTGCGTACTGCTGAATAGTCCCAAATTAGGACAAAACAGCTGTCCAGTACTCCCAGGTTTTCCAGTGATTTTCTAACTAATGTCAGCTCATAACAGAATTTATTGAATCTATAGTTTAAATAAAAGTTTCCAGAATGTTTTAAACATGTTTAAATTAGTAAAAAAACTATTTCAGTGTGAAAATTACTTTTCCCTCTATCTGTGGATACACTGCATGAACTATTGTGTAATAAACATTGAAACAAGATATTTTTTATTGTATTATATTCATTACAACTTACCAGTTTAATCCAACGTGATTTCAGCTACGCTTCATTCAACAATTAAGAGTATATAAGTGCTATTTTTTAGGCTAGAAAATTTTTACAAGGAATAATATTTCATAATGTTAAATATTACTTTTCATTTGATTGGTTTGTAAGCGTTCATTATTCGCCGTTGGTTGGATGATACAGTAAGTTGTCTGTACTATGAATAGTACCAATAGATAAGGTTGATTGAATATACTATAGTTTATTCGGCTTTTTATGTTATGTAATATGCGTGACAGAATTGTGCATCATGCAGGATAGGGTGTTAAAGATGGTTTACTTTCTGAAAGACAAATACTATTGACTATGTGTGCTAGTATATCATCAGGTGATTCATTATTGAAAAACTCTAATTCCTAACTTTTAATGAGATAGACAGCAATCAGGAAAAAGGCATAAAATGTACCCACACAAAAACTTAAGGGATCTGGACTTCTCTAATGATATATGTCTGATTTCCCACAAACTGGAAGATATGCAAGTGAAAAGCAACAAGTTGGCAGAAGAAGCATTCAGAGAAGGTAGGACTTCAGGTGAACATAGAGAAAACAGAGGTGATGAAGATTCCTGGCCAACACCAACACCAACAGCAACAACAACAACAGACAACAATCAGCCAGCATAAATGGGAGGAACCTGAAAGAAACAACCTCCTCTACCTACCTACCTGGGAAGCATCGTTTCAACTACACGATGACGAGACTCAAGAGGACATCAAAGCAGCCAGGATAGGAAAAGCAAGACACGCTTTCACTACTCTCAAGTCTGCGTGGAGGTCAATGGCATTAATCAGCATGAAAATGAAAATAAGATCTGGATTTTCAACTCCAATGTGAACTCAGTGCTACTCACTAATCGGATTAGAGACTTAGCGCGTCATAAAGAGCATCTCAAGCAAACTTCAGACCTTCATTAACAGTTGTCTTCGCTCAATACTCAAGATCAGATGGCCGGCCAGAAAAGATCAGCAACAGGGATCTCTGGCAATGAGCGAACCAATCTAGCAGGAACCGATTGTGCAACAAATAAGCGGAAAGAAATGGAGGTGGATTGGTGGCCATACTCTGAGAAAACCATCAAGTGTCATCAAACACCAGGCCATAGATCGAGTGGGACCCGAAAGGGAGGCGGCGAGTTGGTTATCAGTGCGAGGGTGACTTGGAGGATGTGATGTGAAGAGGAGATGAAAGTATGGGGGCAGCCAGATGAAAACGTTGGCATAGAACCGGACGCAATGCAGACGTGCTGCTGAAACCCTATATTCCTCTAGGAATTAAAGGAAATAATAATGATAATAATTTCTAACTTTAAGTAAAATCTCCATTGAGACATTCTAGGATAAAACAGAAAAATGAACATGTGATTCAGACAATTTCATTTACCATAAGCGTTATCGCAATTGCATTCAGTTTCGTTCATGAATGTGTCCATTATATACATACGCGTATATTTGCAGAGAATAATGAGTATTGATCAGAATATACTGCAAGTATAATGAAAGTGAGAAATTATAGGTAGGAAGTAGATTAATTATTGTGGGGAAACAAAACTGATGTAATATTAGGCAACAGTTATGGGAGTTAAAACAGGTAAGAGAATTTGTGATATGTTATTGGTACCATAAAGTTCGGTAATTACAGATTAAGTTAAGAAGAATTCCCATTTTGAGTGAATCAAGAGCACGCAAGACAGCAAAGATGTATCTTTTCGTAACGTATGTAAGAGTTGATATATATTAAATATGGAAATGTTAGAGAGACAACCAATTGTACATCTGAATTACAGTGGATACGAAATTTGTGAAGTTCTCCGAAGCCGTCTGTCGGCAGCAGTCCAAAGAATGTTATTTGCTGTATCTCTGCACCTTACCTTCTCTACATATCAAAAAGGCATAGACAAGATCCTACAGTTGGCAAATTCATTACTTATTTTCCAATTCACTGACTCCTGTGGAGTTAAGTACGTAGGCTGTACCAGTTGGAAATTGTCTAGACACGCTCATGAACACCAACAAACATGAATGTCGAAAGAAGAAAGTAGAGCAATTAATAGCTCAGTTCTGGAGCACATAAAAACTTCTGGTCATGCACCATCTGTACAGACTTAATTCAGAGTGATGAAAAACTTAGATAAAGCCATTCAAAAAGATTTCACTTACATATTCTTGAGGCAACCAAAGTTATTGCAATCCGTAAAGAAAAGTCTAAACTTTGTGTTACAAGACATTTTGTCTAGCCTCTCTGACTGTCGTGACCTTAGTTCACTTTTATGTTTTATTCTTTTAATATTGCTGCATAATAAACTCTATGTAATTTCGGTTATTTTAAAAAATGTTTTAGCATACTTTCACTTCTTATTGCCCTTATTTCTTATCAGTTGTTTTCACATAACTACTAATTAGTTTACAAGTATTGCTTTTGTTGGGATTTTTTGTTTGATTCTTCGGAGGATTTCATCATGAGCTGACATCAGTTAGAGAACCACTGAAAAACCACCTGGGAGTACTGGACAGCTGTTTTGTCCTTGTCTCTCTGGACTCTTTATCAGTACGCACCCACATCATGGGATTCAAACCGAAGTCCTTCTGGTTACAAGGCGAGCTCGTATACCATTAAGCCACTGGGACCCGGTCCAATGCCAGTCCATGAATTCTAGCTTCTGCCATTTCATGACATAGCGCAACCATT